TATTTACCTTTAATTTTATATCAAAAAATAATAATTTTTTAAAAATATATTATGCAATATGTTAAATGGATTCTTAGTCTATATATATGAAAAATGTTTGATATATACTCAAATTGACAAACCTTTGTAACACTTGTTCAATTTAATTATTAAAAATATAATATAAATACAGTCAATTGAACTGATCCCTACATCATATATGTATAATTATATTTTTAAATTTATTTACCTTTAACTTTATATCAAAAAATAATAATTTTTTTAAAATATATTGTATAGTATGTTAAATTGAAGTGTATATCAATTAATGTTCATACATATAATAAAATCTTATTTTATGATTTGAATTGTATCAAATTATAAAATAAAAATTGTTAAATGGAGAGGAGAGCTCCAATATGTAGAGACTCGCCTTCAACTAATGATTTATGTAGTGTAATTCAATATAATACACATTACACTATACTTTTTCATATATATATATATATATATATAACAAAACTAAAGTAGTGTTTACAAGTACATCTGTCCGTTTAGATTTTTAATTACCAAATATATATATATGTGGACTAATTAATCGTTAATTAATGTGCAGAGATTGGTTATTCGTACCAACAGTGTGGAGTTCATGCCTTTTTATTTATCCCTTTTCCTCACTGTCAACGCAATCGCGTGGTCCTTTTATGGCATATTCCTCAAGGACTTGTATCTTGCAGTAAGTGGGATTGATCCTTCTCTTACTGACAAAATGCTATATGTATAGTACGTAATTAGTCAAAACAATCATGTTACATGAAGAATTTGTTTTGACTGCAGATTCCGAATATTCTCGGATTCATATTTGGGTTTCTTCAGCTGGTACTGTATGGAATATACAGGAATAAGTCAAAGTCGGTGATGGTAGAAGGGGATCAGTTACCCCAGCAGAACATCGATATGACCATACACAGCCCATCCACATTGACTTTAGAGGAACAGAATGTAGTGGATCAAAGTGGGAGAGTGAAGGAATCTTTTGACTCCAACCCAATAATTGCTTCTCAAGTTTAAAAGACAAGATCACAAGCTTTTACTGAAGTTGATGGATCGACATTGAACCAGCCTGCTGGATCGATCCCCCACCTCTTGACGAAATTAGTGTCGTGTGTTATACGTGCACGTCTGTCCCCTGCTGTAAAATGCATTATGTATTTCTGTTTCCTGTTTCATTTTCTTACTGTTGTACTACGATCGGCCTAACCACAAGTTGGCTAGGCAAAATAAAAATCCTGCAATATAGTATAATTTTAATTTCACGTCAAATGATTTCAACCTATGTTAATTTGTTAAAATTAAATTAATTTTAATTTATATGTATTTTAAATATTTTAGTAATTACGTATATAAATATTAGCATATATATTATACATATTTATTTAATGTTATATTTTTAAAATAAAAAATTTATTTAATGTCATGTCAAATTAAAAATAAAATTATGTTAGTTAAAGTTTGCTTGTAGCTTTTTTTCCTTTTTCATTTCCCTTAATTTTTTTGGATAAGATTAATTGGTGCAAGATATTGATATAGTGTGATATAAGAAGATGCAAAACATCAAAGACGACTAAAAATATCAAGATATACAACTAAAATCACATGATAGGTTAGACTAGTAACAGAATTGGCATAGAATAACGAGCAGTTGTCCTCTAAACTTTTGATAAATGTTATATATGATACAAATATTTAATATTTTTTACAAAAAAAAGTGATTATTATATCTTTTAGTTCAATATATTTGTTAACACCTATCAATACGGCAAATATTTATCAGTTTAGCAATCAAAATTTTGTAACTTTAAGTTTTCTTGCATTTAATTCAAATTTAAAATAATAATTTCTAAAATGTATTGAACTAAAAAACATACCAATTATTATCCTTTTACAAAATTTTACTTTTGAAGTTTGAATTATAAAAATAATTTAAATATAAAGAAAATATTTATGACTCAGGTAAAGGGATT